TCCCACTAGTCGCAGTTGCACGTTATAATTCCTGGGCCGCTTACCATTTACTTGGATTCACTAATCTAAAAAATCAGCCAGTTAAAAAGTGATATACAATCCTGCGGATGTAAGAATTTCAGTCTCAAAGGTTTAAGTGTCAGGTTTGATAGGGGGGTCTGGACCCCCTGGACCCTCCCCCTGGATCCACCACTGGTAATGGAGTTCAGCGATGGTGAGCCTGATTGTTCCATCTGTCTAAAGACAGTGAAGCAGACTGGTCAAGGGACTGGAATTGAAAGCTGGAGGTCAGTGGAACTGGATTTGTCTATCAGTAAACCTCACAATCATATCTTATGTTATACTTTGTCTCATCAGAATGAGCTCTCTCAAAAGAAATACAGAGGTTCTAAATGAAGTGACACTTAAATGAATTTTATTTTCTATTTTCGTCTCTGTAACACCCAATTACCATTTGTTTGGATGCGGAGATTGATCCTGTTTTCTGATGGATGTGGAATGCTGTAACCACAGAACATCACATCAGGGCTTCAACAAAATGAAAAAATAAACATCAATTTTCAAAAAACTTTTTTCTGTCACTTCTTTGGTAATTAAGAATGAGCACAAGAAAATGACCACCAGGCAAATAGCTTAGGGTTAAAAGGTGCACATAGCAGGTACATAAATAATATTGATTATCTATTTTTTTAATACCGAAATTATCTGTAGCCATACTCACTTTCGGGTAGAACAGGACACTTAGTTCCCCCACCCATTCCCCCCACCCCACCTCTTCAGCCTTGTCACGGACTTGAAAGAGGACATACTGCACTGTCAAATAGTTTAGACCCATCGGAGAGCCTCAACATCTCCTTTTCTCTGCTCTTAACTGGCTGGAATAAGATTAAATTTCGCCCTACTTTTTCGCGATGATTTATCTCAAAGAATTTCCCAGCGTATGGTCTTCTTCGTGCAAAACAAACGTAACACAAGTTTCATCCTCTCCACTGTCTAGGGGCATCTAAAACAGAAACATTAGACCAGTTAACCACAATTTTAAATATTTGTGATCTCAGGTATTTCCGTGCATTATTTTTCTTAGAATCAACACGTACCACTTCTAATCGGCGTAATTGTCCGCCTATTTCAGTATCGGCTCCTCGTTCGCCGGCCGCCATGTTGAAATATGTATTCGTCAATCAAGTAGGACAGCGGGAATGCAGAGGTAACGTTATCTATTTGGTGTATTTGGCACAATATACCCTTTCGATGACGTCATCTCCAAGGTAAATGGCGTAGATTCTTCTTGAAGCAATTCTAAGAAAGGAAACTTCAATTTTCACCCAAAACGAAAGGTAAGCTGGGCAATGAAAGACTGAAGTTAAAACTAATTTTTCAGCTTAATTTTTGTATTTTTCGAAACTATTACATCTTTTTCTCCCTTACGCTTCTTAGTATGTAAGGGATAGCTGTTTGGTCTTGTAGAAGCTTTTTCAAACGTCGTCTGTGCTAATACTGCAATCAGTTTAGAACTGCTGTTTGAGTGGAGGATTTTGAATTTCTAATTCTCTGTTACTGTAGTTATTAGCATTGTTTCACCAGTGCAGAACTGTAGGTGATACACAGATATTTTATCAAACCAAGAATAATATGAATCTGCAACAACGTGCTATCCAAATGATTTTTCTTGTTACGTCTACTTTCAGGATACAAATCTTAAGCTTGTAATGCTGCAAGCTTTTTAATTAATAATGATATAAATTCGCTAAGATAAAGTAGATATTCCTCGGTGTATACCATTACAAATCCTTTTGAAAAGTCAATTAGAGGCTCATTATATCAGTTCCAAAGATATCAATTGCCTCACGAAGGGTTTGTTTGAACTTAGACTTGGAGGGATCTTAAACTATAACTCCCAGAATTTCTATACCAATTCTCCATAATTTCTCTCCATCATTTCTCACAATTTAAGTCATAAGAATATAGTGTTAATGGAACAATTTCCCTGGGATGATATTTTTACTAATTCTTTTCACCTTTGTGCTGGACAACGTTATTTGGTTAGGTAAGGAGAAATAGCTTGTTGGTCATATCCAGGTGGTAAAAGGATTAAACATTGGCATTTGAGACCCCCTCCCCCTCCCCCAGAGTGAAATAGGGCCCTTTAGGGGTTGGGTACAGATATTTAAAGATCAGTTATATGTAATTTGATTTCCTTTTAATTGAAAAGCTAAATATACAGCCAGACTGGTCATTGGTTGTATCATAGCTATTTCTAGATGCTACAATTTCTTGATGTTTCTGAAGTATCAAAATACCAACAAGGATTTCAGCATGCTTTCCAGCTGAGAACACTTAAGTTAATGTTAAAAAAGTGTAGGAATTGAATAAAAGAAATATTCTTTAGTGAAAAGTAATGACACGGATTGTATTTAGAATAAACAAGCATGAGTAAATTTTTCAAAGACTACACTTCACACTTACCTTGGCTGGTGCATTTTGTAGCCTTTGTAAATTTTACTCTAATCAAAAGTGCTCTTTAAATCACATGATTACCAACACAAATGATTGAAACTCTTCAGTTATATAGCATTGGTATTCTAACCTGTAAACTGTCACATGTCATGTGAAAGTCTCATGTTTGAAGAACAAAAGTATTATAACACACAAAAGGCCTTCCACCAAATGATAATCTTTCTCTGTTCTTTTGTGTCAAAAAGTAGCTAAGTATGTTAGTGATAATATGTGTCAATTTTAAGTTTGATAAATACTTTTTGAAGTTATCTGCTGGAATTCCATTTTTACACTGATAAGGATGCCATCACCTTTGTTTACAACTGGTCAGATCATCAACAGATGAGTTACAATATCTTACTTTTAGAAAATCTTGGTGGTTTAATTTCAAAAATTTGAGTCACAATATGTTGCCAAAGTCAGGTATGCAATATAATCAATAGATGATTTATCTTACTTTAGGTACATTTTAATGAAACAATTGTGCTCTTACATTAATTTTTTTTGTATATATTCTGATTTTAATAATTTTGAATTACTTTTAAGGTTACAGAAGAGCCATGCCAATCTTATACAGTGTTGTAGCAAGGGGGACAACAGTATTAGCCAAGTTTGCTTCTTGTGCTGGAAACTTTGCAGAGGTTACAGAACAAATTTTAAGTAGAATTCCACCAGAGAATTCCAAACTTACTTACACTCAGGGAAAGTAAGTGTTAACATTGATTGATACAGAATTCTATCAATGAAAACAATGTCAGAAGTAAAATTACTTTTCTTGTGTATTTATTTTAGCTAGCCTTTGAAATCATTTTAAAAACCTTAAAATTTTCATGCAAAAGCAAGGCCAAGAAGGCAAATTTGTATGCACTTAGAGAATGATAATCTTGCTTACAGTTTTGTAAGAGGTCTATGTTATTAGGTTCGCTCACATTACATCTTTATTCTTTTTCTTCACTGTCTTCAAATTATTTTTTTATTAAAATTTTTTTCCCAAGAATTTGGTCATTTATCAAACGATACTCCCAAGTTGGTTTGTTTAGTTTTTATTCCAATTACAGTCGAACCTCGATTATCTGGACTCATTGGGACCTCGGTAAATAGTTCAGATAATCAAAAATACAAATATTAATAAGATAGAAATGTAAAAAAAAAAGGGTATACAGCAAAACAAACATCATTTTAAAAGTGATAGCTGCACAGCCTGTATGTATTAACAAATAACGCATCAGAATATTTCATTGTCTCGTCGCACTTGCAAATTTTGAAAAGCGCACAGGATAATAAGCTGTTTTAACAGTCTTTTGAAAGGATTAGTGGGCTTTTTGCGACTCTGAGTTTTCAAGATCACAACTAATTAATATTCATGAAAAATTGGGACCAGAGAAAAAAGTCCAGATAATCGAATACTCTGGATAATTGAGGTCTGGATAATCAAGGTTCGACTGTACCTGAATGCTTGACAATGTGGTAATGTTTTTAAACTCTTTAGACCCTCAGAGTGACCAGCAGGTAATTTCTCCTTACAGTGAGAGTGCTGAATCATTGATGATTGTATTTAACTCAGCTTGGTTTTTACAAGATATGTAGGTTAAATTTACATAGCAACTAAACACAGTACAGCAAAGGAATAAGAAAAAAAAAATTTAGCAATAGAGTAAGTAGATAGTTACGATCATCCAAATAGCAAAGGCTAATCTAGTAGATGATCCCTATTATAAAATACAGTTAAGGGCAGAATTAAGAATAGATTTTTTTTAAATTTTTTTCTATAAAAGGTATTACTTCATGCACTAAGCTAGATAATTAAGAAGAATAACAATTAAGTATAGAGTTCTTTGTGGAGGCATGGTGGCCTTATGGTTTGTGTGCTCAACTCCAGATCAAGTGGTCCGGGTTCGAGCCCCAGCCGGGGACATTGTGTTGTGTTCTTAGGCAAGACACTTCACTCTCACAGTGCCTCTCTTCGCCCAGGTGTTTAAATGGGTAGCGGCAAATTTAATGCTGTGGGGGGTAACCCTGCGATGGACTAGCATCCCATCCAGGGGGGAGTAGAAATACTCTTAGTCGCTTCATGCTACAGAAACCGGAGTTAAGCACCGGCCTGATGCCACTAGGCTCGTAAACAGACTTTACCCCATAGAGTTCTTCAGGGTTTTACAAAATATTCTAAGATCATTAAGATCACAATAATAACCTAAGAAGCTTTGATTATTGAATAAATTCTCCTTGTCAGCAACAAAGGAAGTGTATAGCAAAGATTATGGAGAATATGGAATACTGATGGTGGGGGGGAAAGGGGTAAGGAATGTCACTACAATAGCCCATTTCCAAATTGCCTTTAGCCTCTTTTTCAAAGCGAGTCCTGGTGCTCATCCTTTTGTATGGTAAGAAGTTTTCATTCACATGCAAATTAAACTCATTTTCATACATATGGTTGAGCACCAGACCTCGTTTTGTAAAAGAGGCCAAATGTAATTCGGAAATAACCCATTGAAAAACTGGGCATGAACCTGTAATAGGACTTCAAGGCTTTAAAGCATGTTTTGCCCAAGTTGTATTTCATTTTGGTATTAAATTTTTGTGACACCGTACTCTAAAAGCATTGTGAATTGGTATTTCAATCTTGCAGCTACCTGTTCCACTACATATCAGAGGACAGAGTCATCTACTTGTGCATTACAGATGACGTAAGTTGACAAAACCTTTGGTACAATTAGACAGTTTTTTAATTTATTTAATGCTTCAACTTTTAAGCCCAATTTGAAAGGTCTATTTGAATAGTCTGTTTGTTCTGTCTTTGATTTCAGGATTTTGAAAGGTCCAAAGCATTCCTCTACTTGACAGAGATTAAGAAACGGTAAAAAAGTACTTTACCATGGCTTCCAGTTTTACTGTATTATTATAATTATTAATTATCATTATTATCATGTATAAGTTTGTTATCCACTTATTTATAATGAACTTGTTATTTTTTCAGTTTTCAAAGTGCATATCATGGACGTGCTCAAACAGCATTGCCTTATGCTATGAACAGTGAATTTTCGAGGGTCCTTTCAGCTGAAATGGTAAGTACTGGTATATCATGCACTGCATCTTTTTTTCAACTTTTTCTTTTTTAACTTGACCCCTTTGTGCTGCCACTCTATAAAACTTCCCTTTATTAAACATATTATTTTGTAATATGAGCATCTTCTCTCACAGAAAAGATTTTCTGATACTGGACGTCAGGCAGATAACCTGTCTAAAGTGCAAGGAGAACTTGATGAGCTTAGAGGAATTATGGTGAAAAACATTGGTAAGGGGTGCTTGTTAGAAAAAAAAAATAACAGGTATAGATTTTGTTGAAATTCTGCTTGTTTTTTTGTATAATATGTTGATTTAGATAAACAACAGAACAACACTTAAGGATGTAATGCTAATCCATTTGCAGCAATGAAATATTCTTTGAATCAATTAAGTTTGTTAAGATGATTATAATGATGTTATTTTTGTGATTTTGGAAACAGATACTATTGCACAAAGAGGAGAACGTTTGGAACTCTTGATTGATAAAGCAGAGGACCTCAACACCACAGTAAGTTCTCAATAATTAATCAGTTAATAATGCTGTTAGGTTGTTGCTTGAATAAGTCTCCCATTTAATGATCCTTCCTCTCTTCTAGTCACTCACTTTCAAGAAATCAAGTAAAGGCCTGGCCAAAGCTATGTGGTGGAAGAATGTCAAAATTACTGTTATACTTGTTGTTGTTATCATTGTAAGTATATGGAGGTTGATTCTTCTTATTCTAACTCTACTTTTAGTCAAGAAAACAAGAGATGTATATGCATAGACATTTTACAGTCTAGTGACACACCTTTGCAGTGTTCTCCACAGGATGGTGTTTTCACCAGCTACTTGTTTCTAAAGTGATAGCTAATTGTTTAAACAAAGCAGCTGAAATGAAATTAACCTTGGCCACCTTGGTGATTAACCTGAAGTTCCTCTTCAGTTTCAATGCCTCAGTACATAGCATGCATAGTTCTGAGCCTGCGAGACATGCTGGGTTAGTGGTTAGAGCGCTGACCTTCAGACAGAAAGACATGGGCTTGTGTCCAGGCCAGGTTGCTGAAGTGTATTTTTGGGCAGACGCATAACCTCACAGTGCCTCTCCTCATCCAGGAATATAATTATATTTATTAAAGACTGGATCATTGGATAATGCAATTTAAGACTTTTCATTGGCTTAGCCATTATGGTATATGAGCCAATATACCATAATCTCATATCTGTACATGGAAACATTCGGTTTCTTCTTACAAAATAAAGTCAAGATTTGTCTAATATCTTGGGAGCGTTTTTTTTAATAAAACAAATATTCCACTCGCACTTGTTTGATATGAGATGATTATAGCCAACTCGGTGCTACGCACCTTGTTGGCTATCTATCATCTCATATCCAACTCACGCTCATGGAATAATTGCTAAGAATACCAGAAAATCGTCAGAAAAAATGGGAAAAAATGCTGGGGGTAGCTTGGAATGGACTAGCCTTCCCATCTAGGGAGGATTAAGAATACAGCTAGCTGCTCCATGCTACTGAGACAGGGATAACCTTTGGCAGCATGGGCATTTATGATTCTGGCTCTTAAGCTGTCTCCACTTCACACTCTGTTCCAACCCGCCTCCTCTTAAACGGCTATTATATCTCAAAGAGTTGATTCTAGTTTTGATTTCTCCTTTCCCTCCCTACCCCAGCATGTCAAATGGAGTAGATAGGGAGAGTTTTTGAATATTTTTATTAATTATTGTTAAAATAGCTGTAAGTTGTCTTTTTTTCTTTTTTGCACAGTTGGTTCTCTACTTCATCATATCAGCAGCCTGTGGAGGACTGGCCTGGGGTGACTGCGTTCACAAAAAAAAAAACAATTGATAAATGATCACTTTGCTCCAAATGCATTGTGATTTTACCAAACTCATTTATAGGTAGGAATCTGAAGCAAACCTGAAAAAAATTCCAAATTGTTTTGTTACCAAGAATTTGATGAGATGTGTATATGAAAGTCAGCTTACTAAAACGAGGTGCCTGTAAATACCTCCAGAGAAGTCACACAAGTTGTCAAAAAGGTTCTTGTTGCTTCACTGTCTGATGAGCAGAAATATCTAACCCCTTTGGGTTTGAAAATTTTGTAGCTAGAAAATCATCATTGAGCAATTTTACAAATATGAAGCCTGTTTGTTTTTGTTGCCCCATTTCAGATTATGTGATGCTGCTGAAAGGAGGGGCTCTTTTATCCCTTTAAAAACAATACTATTGCACAAACCCAAGCAATAATAATTTGTGAACTTATCATTGTGTTGACGTAGTCTTCTTGGGGTATTACAAAACAATCAAAGTTATAAAAATATTTTTTCTGTATAATTTTCTTAGCTCCTGAACTATTTAAATGAATTAGTGTGTTCCTCTGGTTGAGAAATACTATCATGAGTACATTGATGGTCTAGTTCCACCCAGCCCAATTTTCCCTTTCCCCTACCTGATTTATGCTACCCACACTCACTTTATGCTTGAGTTCCAAATAAAAGGAAAATAAAATTGCTCAATGGCCGGAAATAAAGACTTTGAACAAAAACTGTAAAGAAATTTATTAATAATTTTTCTTTCCATGTCAGTTTTAGTCAGCAATTAGATATGACCAAAGATGGAGTTGATCTAAAACAAAAGTGCAAAATAGTTACTAGACATCTTGTTACCAGTATCATAACTATACTGTTATAACATTTGTAAACAAGTTTGATTAAAGAAGAGAGAGTGAAAAGTTTTTCCTCAACCGTCTGTTTTTTATTTTTTTATCATTTTTTTATCATTATTTTTTTATCATAAGACCATTCTCAAATAACACTAGTTTTCAGATCACTTACAAGAGTACCTCTTGTGTTGTTACTTTTGCCATTCCGTTAGTTATGTTTTCTTTAGGGTAGAACCACATAAAAGGCCAATAATGATTTCTATCTGCTTTTTCATTTCCCCAGTTATTAGTAGGTTGTGACGACCTTGATAAAAATGCTTTTTTTTTAATTCGTGTAACTTGTCTTATTGGGTGAAAGGGCGGCTGTAAAGGCAGGTTGGGGGCCGCTTCTACGTGTTATATTTTGCATTATCTGCTCAAGAAATTATAACTCTCAGGGAAAAGTAGGTAAACTCTGAGATCCGTTATTTGAGGTGATAACGTCTTTCTCTCCATCTTATTTTAGAACTTAGGCCCCTAAGAGTGACCAGCATCTGATTTGTCCTTTCAATATCACCCCTGAATCACACATCAAGGTCACAAGGATAAGGAAATGATAATACAATAATGGAAACTTTATTTGTGTTTTTAAATGTACAATTGTCAGTCTCACTACGTATAGGCAATTTACAAATGCTGCTTGAGATTGGCTTATTCAACACACACAAAAATCAAAATTGCATCAAATCTGGGTTGTCCCATTTCTACAACAAAAGACATAATATGTTGCTCTAATAGCTATATTTATCATTTTCTTGATTATGTAAAGTTGCTGCTTTTTGGCAATGCCTATGTCATTCATCATGCCTAAGAACGTAGAGCATTCATCTGAGAAAACGCCAAGGGAGCTCATGGAGAGATTTACAAATTTCACACATCTGAAAGTTCTACTCATTTCGTTGATCAAGTTCCGATATTTTTCTTTTTTACGCACTGCATTGTTGTACAAGTTAGATTCGAAACCAACTGTTAATTCTAGAACATATAGGCACTTGGACTGGGTTAGGAAAAGAAGATCTGGGCGATAATTTTCACCAGTTATTATTGAGGGATTTAGAAAACCAGTAACATCTGCATAGATTGAAGAGCTAACATTAATTACAGGTTGAAAGGACTTGGCAATGAAGTTAAGGATTGAGTCGTGTCTCCAGGTAAAGCGATCAAGGCATTGTTGACAACCAGCGACAACATGAAGGAGTGACTCAGGATTAAGGCAAAAGGA